CCTCCACCACTTGCTAATGTTACTGAATCTGTGGAAGCTCCGCGATAGCCACCACACGAAGTAACGAGTAACGACCGTATCTAAATCCCAGTAACGACTAACGCGTTCCTGATTTTGGCATAATAACTAGTTACCGTGCTCGTTACCACAATAATAACGTAGTTACTGTAACGCGTTACTTAATAACGCGTTACTTAATAACGCGTTAGTCCCAACACTGGTTACCAGCAAGGATACCATGTTCAAAGTTACATTAAATCCCCTTTCTTAGGGGACAACTGCTCTTGCAAGTTGTCTTGCCTAAATACATTGACGTGCTACCATGGGAATGGGTGATTTTTTTTTAAATATTTTTTTTGTTAAGGAGCTGCTGAATGGGTGCACATAACAAAGTGTAAGTTAAGTGTAAGTGCTTCCTTTACAGTAACTGCTACCTGCTCCACACTATGTGCAGTAGAAGTCTTGATCCTCTCTGAAAGGATGTGAAAACAACTCAACACCTTTTTTCTGTGAAAAATTCTTAAGTCACTCACTTAGACACACTGTAGGTTTGCAAAGCTGCAGTCTTATCTTTTCTGCACTGCCGTATTTTCAGCAGGCACAACTGCACACAGACATTTAGTGAGTGTATTTCTATAGGATACATCTTTTGAACCTATTACAGAATAACCTGGGTCATATTCTCAATTAACAGGCTCTACAGTTCTACCAATAATTTTACACGTGTTTTGTAAGGTCACAGTGACCTTGACCATAATCACCATAACTAGTTCGTGCCCGTGTCAGTTTGTGTGAAATCTGAAAAAAATTGCCTCATGGAGTTTGAGATTTACATTTGCACAGCTGTCACTGACTCCGAGCTGAAAACATATCAAAGTATTTTAAAAGATATGCAACAAACATGAACATAACTTTTAGCAAATGGGTCAAACCACTGATGTGACTTCAGAGGGGATTTTTTTTTTTTTTTTTTTTTACTGGTACTGAGATTTTACTCACCCCTAACCAGCTGTGGCGGATGGCTGCCCCTCCCTGAACCTGGTTCAGCCTGAGGTTTATTCTTGTTAAAAAGGAGTTCTTTCTTCCCACTTTGGCCAAGCGGGTTGTTTGATTGCTGGATTTTTCTCTATTTTCTGTAGGGTCTACACTTTACAATATAAAGCGCCTTGAGGTGATGGTTGTTGTGATTTCGCATTATACAAATTAAATTAATGTGAACTAAATTAAATTACATGCGTACATAAAAGTGGCAAGTGTCTAAGAAGCGTTAACAACAAAATATACTACAGGGCGGGTCATTTATATGGATACACCGTAATAACATGGTAATGGTTGGTGATATTAAAGTCCTGTTTGTGGCACTTTAGTATATGCGAGGGGGCAAACTCCTCAAGATGGGTGGTGACCATGGTGGCCATTTAGAAGTCGGCCTTCTTGGATACAACTTTTGTTTTTTCAAATAGGAAGAGGGCCATGTGACACATCAAACTTATTGGTAATGTCACAAGAAAAACAATGGTGAGCTTGGTTTCAACGTAACTTTATTCTTTCCCTGTACATTATACATGATCTAAAAAATATGTAATATTTTTGTCAAATTTAAATCACATAGATATAGTAAAAAAAATACAACTTCTATTAAAAACTTATAATTAAAAAACAAAAATAACTAAGAAGGCACTAGCATCATCAAATCAGGACACAGAATCATAAAAAGAAAAATCAAATTAGAAATCAAACTCAAAAGGACAGATGGACGACGTTAAAAAGTTGCAGACATTTAGCCTTGAATGCTCTGCTTGCATTGCAAGCACAAAGTCATATGTGTATATATATATATATATATATATATATATATATATGATATGAGTAAATATCATAGATAGTTGAGTTTGTTGTTTCATTAAAAGCAAGAAAAAAATTGGCCTTTCGTGTGCAAATTTTGATTTGAGAATGCGTAGAACATGGCAAGAACCTGCACTACATGAATAATATAAAATGCATAATCAGCAACAACTAGAGAAGAATCAGAGAAAATGTTGTCAACTATATCAACCATTAACATGAAGACAAAAACAAATGAGAAGATGTGTCAGGAGGCTGTCCACAGATAGAGCATTTCACACCTGTCATTCTTTGATCAGTTTAAATGAACCTTCTTCAAATCAACATCTCAGAAAATGTTGCAGCTCGAATAGTCAGAATTGTCTTTATTCCCTGAAAACATAATGAAGTAAACTTTTCATTTCTCTCTGTTTACTAGTTGTTCAAACTCTTCTCACCAATCACAAAGCCTAAAGAAACTGTTACGTAATGCGTCTTTGCTTTAGCAGCACCGCCCATTTCCTTTGGGAAAAAAGTGGTCAGCGATTTTTTTAGCTGACATCTTTATGTTTTTAGCCTTTTAGCCTTCGGTGCTAAGTACTTTTAGGATTACTTTTTTTGATCAAAGGTCTATACCCAAATCGCAGGAAGTCCACGCTGTGAGCGAGAGCAGCTTCTCTGCATTTGAAAAGGTAAATTTCAGCTGCCTGAGCGGTAATTTTGTGCTCGTGTGGCTGTCTGCTCGGCTGTGGCGGTAATGGCGGCTGCTACTTCGTCAACTCCTCGCCGTTTTACGAAAAGGGAAGGTGTAGTTAGCTTAATGGCTCCCCGTATCGCTGACGTCTGTTGACGCGGTAACTTGCGTGCCAGTGACAGAGTTGCACATATTTGCTCATTCAGACAAAAGCTTGTCCATCCTTTGAATCAGAGGAGAGAAACTTGCCTCGGATGTTGCTATGAAATCGATTTATAAGATTTAAACTGCTCAACATCCGTTTTACTGTACGTTAGCTACCGTTAACTAGCAAGTGTAACCTTAGTGATCTAGATCATTCTAGCAGTGAGGAGCTTTTATTTTATCCGAAAACGTTTCCTTGGCATGGAAGTTGCACATTGTAAAATTGGCAATAAATGAATAAAGAAAAAAAGTTAAAACTGTTGACTGTCGGGCCTAGGCATGTTTCGTAACTCCTTTGCAACGTTAGTTGCATTTGGGCTAGCGCGACCTAACCAAAGAGGAAGTTGGGTTTTTTTAGTTGGCCTTAATTCACGTTTTTTAAACTGCAGAATAATTAAATAAACTGTGATTTGACCGCTCATATATTCTTCACAGTGATTGTATTAATGGTGTTAAGTAGTAGAGGAAAAGAAGCAGAGAAGGCCACAGCGGATTGGTTACAACATGTCACAGGCGTACCACCCCGCCACAGAAAGTTGTTGTTAACACTAGCGCCACTATGAAACGGTAATATTGACTTATTTCTTCCCAGTTACTATGGAAGAAGTACAGCAGGTCAGCAATGGTATTGAGTTACAGACTGCAACCATTCCCACTACCATCACAACCTCTCAGTTCTCACAGATAGGCCACCAGGTAACTAATAGATTCAAAATGCATTAAGAAGTATCACTGCTATACTACAGCTGCTCTCGCACTGCTGATAATACAAGGCCACTTATGAATGCCAGGCTGAAAGCGCATATCTGACCTTTTGTTACAGCTTCATGTTTAGGTTCATTCATGAAGTTTTTTGTTTTCAACTCTTGCTGTTACACACCTTAAATTTGTTTACTTAAAATGGATTAAAGAAAAATTGAAACGAAATAACCAAATACATTCTAGGTTGTAGTGTAGTAAGTCTGCTTGGCTTAGTCTTGCTGCTTATTTCATAAAGCTGTTTCAATTCATATCTGTAGTACTATTGAGGTCACAGTATCTATGAACTATCCACTTAAAGTACATGGTGTCCAAATGAGGATAAATGAAGACGTAAATGTGACAAAAAGCAACTATGTGGAATCATATTGTTATCAGCTTGTCAGGTTTATAAATAATAATTTTAAAGATAGTTTTTCTTAATTTTTTCTCTTATAGTTTGTTATTTTTAGTCATACTAATTGGATATTGCCCTTGCTACTGAGTGTCTTTTAAAAAAAGGAGGGGAAAAGCATTTGTGAACAATTAAAGACGAATTTACCTCTACTAAAACTACACCGGAGTGCCACAGGAAGCTTCGTGACGAAATATGGCAAAAATAAAAAGTATGTTGTGTGTAAATTTGAGTGAAAATTTCCTTATATCCTTATTAATGTTTCTGTTGTTCTCAAAGGTTCTGAGCACACTTGTGTGTATGTATACACACACACACACACTGACACCAAGCTACTATGTCAAACATACAGTTTTTTTACATTTAGAACTTTTCTGTGTTTTTTTTTCCAGATGTCACTGGGTGGTTCTCCTGTAGCTGTTGTGCAGCTGCCTGGTGGTCAGTTTCAGGTTCAGGGTGTGATCCAGTCTGCACAGTCATCAGTCATTCAGTCCCCTCAGGGGCAGAATACACAAGTAAGACCGGCTGCTTTTCTCAGCTCTGTATTTATTTTATTTTCAAATGGACCTTTTGCTTAAATTGTTTTTATATCATAATTGACCACCTACTTTCAAGGCCCTGGGTACAGACAGTGAAGACTCACAGGATTCATCAGACAGTGGAGCAGCAACTCAAAAAACCAGAGAAATACTGGCGAGGCGGCCTTCATATCGGTAAGGAAAACAAACAAAAAGAAGCTGAAAACCCAGTTCTCGTTTAATAAACAACAATTCAGGGACTGTCATTTTCTCACATTATAGAAAAATCCTGAATGACCTTTCAGCAGAGGAAGTGGCACACATTGAGGGAAAGGACAGCAGTCCCACATCCACAGGAGTTACGGGTGTTACAGTACCAACCACACCAATCTACCAGACCAGCAGCGGCCAGTACAGTAAGCGCTTTTCCCTTCAGTTATACTTGAAAGGAGAACCTACAAAATGTTTCGCTATACTGAAAGTTAGAATTTTTGTAGTACTTGAGCTACTCACAAAAAATGTCATTTTTACTTTTGCTTTACCGGCTTCTAATACTGTTTGTGTAATTTTTTTTCTAGTTACCATAGCTGCAAATGGCACAATCCAGCTGGCATCTCCAGGGTCTGAAGGCATTCAGGGACTTCAGGCTGTCACCATGGCCAACTCTGGTGGAGCCCAGTCAAGCACCACCATCCTTCAGTATGCCCAGACACCTGATGGACAGCAGATACTGGTGCCTAGCAATCAGGTTGTTGTACAAGGTTAGTCAATAGAATTTGCCAGAGTTTTCAACCAGTTTTTGCCTGATTACTTTTTTGTGAGATTAAATGTGTTCAGCTAAATTATGCTCTCTCATAACATGTTCCAGTCAGATGACGGTGCCTTATCAAGGGGCTCTGACTACAAGAACAATGTAGGATTGGCAGTTAAAAAAAGTAAATCCAGTCACAAGTCTTCCTGGAGCTTACTCCAACATCCTGTAGTACATACCACGGACCAGTAGAATATGGGAAAACACACATACTACACTAAATATATACCTACCATGCAGCATATTGTGTAGTGGCCTTGTGTCTGAAAATCTTTACATTCTTAGATTTTATCTGCTCAGTGGTATGTGTGTAGTAACTTGCCAGATACAGCTTGTACGGTTCTTTATAAGAACCATCTTACTTCCAACAAGATGTCTTTTTATTTTTCAGTCTAATTATTGTTTATTTGAAAAACAAACCCAAACTGCTAGTTGAGTCACATAGGTTTGAAATCTTTTGAAATAAGAAGGGTAGAAAAAAGGCCAACAAACCCAAGCAGTAATAATTCAAATTTCTGGTGAACACAAGAATTCCTCGTGTGTGCCAAGTGAAGTAATATATGTCTTGTTGGACTATACCACTGTACATAGTTCTGGTCAACTGAGAAATAATTACTGATCAAACATCTTAACTCATGCCTGCTTGCGAAACTCTTGTTTTTCCGGTTGTAATTCTTTGACTATTGTTCCACACAGGTGCAGGAGGAGAAGTGCAGACGTACCAGATCCGCACAGCACCCACATCCACTTCCTTGCCTCAGACTGTAGTTATGACGTCTCCTGTGGGACTGTCCCAGACTAAAACTGATGATCCAACACTGAAAAGAGAAATTAGGCTCGCAAAAAACAGGTAAATCCACAGTGTATTTGTGAGTAAAACAAGGTCTCATATTCTGCCTGGATGGGGAAGCTTTAACAAGTTGTATGAAAAAGCTACAAGTTTACAAAATCATCAACTGATTTGGACCCGAAAAAACAATCTATAGGTGTGAAAATGCCCTAGGTGCTTTTACTTTGTGTACATTCATTTTATGGTTATAGTTATAGTTTGGGGAGGTAGGGATTGGACAAAATCCTCTATCACCGTATCAGTAAGTTTATAGTGCACATTGTGAAACACTTTTTTTCCTGTTTTCAGAGAGGCAGCCCGTGAATGTCGACGGAAGAAAAAGGAATATGTTAAATGCCTGGAAAACCGCGTAGCTGTTCTTGAGAACCAAAACAAGACTCTGATTGAAGAACTCAAAACATTAAAAGATCTTTATTGTGTTAAAACAGGGTAACCTGTGTGAATAATGTTCATGGATTGGGACGTAGTGTGACAGTGGTGCACCTCAGCCATTTGGACGTGATGGGGTTTCTGGGAACACTTCATTTCAGGCTGAGATTCTACAGGGTTTTGTTTTTTGTTTTTTTTACTCTGTTTGATATAAAAAAAAGTGACTTATAGCAGTGACGTTTACTCAGAAAAAAAATACAAATTGGCCATTTTTCCACCTGCTGTTTTTAAAAAATGCTAATGCTATAACATTTATAGTTGTGTACATTTTTAATAATGGGAGATGTGAAATTGTGAGCTTTAATGTTTAGTCTCAGTTTCTAAATGTATCCCTTTCCTTTTTTTCTTGTTTTTTTTTTTTTAAAACTTTGCTGTTGGATTTTTTTTTTTCTTAAACAACATCTGCAGAAATTTGACTATATAATTACTACACAGACATATTTTGTTTATTTTATGAACCAGCATTTCCCTTCATTTCCCTATAAGGAGATGTTACAATTGTCATTCCTTATGTTTGTGCAATGCAATATAAAAGGTAAGAGAGAAAGGAAACAAACAAAATTAAGTGTGGTTTGTTTGGGTGTTTTATGGCCGTTCCTTAGACAATCAGGGAAAAAAAGCACGGTGTCCAGGTAATATTTATTATATACATCATGGGAGGGAAGGGAAAGGAGAACAAAACAGTAAATGAAATGTTGCTGATTGTGTAAATAAATATATTTTCACTCAATTTATGTAGTGTGGCTAATGTATTGCAATAAAAATGTAAGCAGATCTGTTATACTTACAGGGATGAATGAAAATAATTTCAGGTGTTTTTTCAGAATTTTAAACTTGTGTGCACTCAGATGGGCTGCCTTTCAAAATAAACCTCCAGCCTGAACTTGGACCTCAACTAGTAGTTTGAAATTCATATGTGAACTCTGGACAGGCCATTACAAGTGTTGCTTTAGGATGTATGTCACTGTATAACCTGAATGCTTTAATATAAACTCCACAGTCTACCATGCAGTCATTTAATACAATATCCCATGATGTGTGGCCTGATCATCAAACTGACATCTGGAGCGTCAATGTGTCTCAAGTTAAGCTCGGAAAAACCAGCTACCTCTATATCTTTCCATGTTGCTCTGGTAATCATGCATCCATCCCCGAGAAAGCACCAGAGAGGCTCAAACACATACTGCAAAAAGTATGTCCAGGATGAAGAATCTGAGACAACATGTTCCAAAAAGTAGAAGGCGCCGCCCTGAAACACAGTCAGCAAAAAAGATTACATTGTGTTCATGTGTGGTTGTGTAATGCTGGTTATACATACACTGGGGCTGACTTTCTGACTGATACTGGTTCAAACTAGATGAAGTGTGACAGAGAAGGGGTGTGGCGACCCCAGTATAACCATTGGACTCCTCCATTGGAGCCATACATCTATCAGATATCTTAGGATTTGACAAGCATAAGGGGAAAAAGAAGTCTACTTTAAAAGTGCGGTCTTTTGCATATTTTAACTTAAAATATTTAACAGAGTTGTTCAAATGCCATGCAAGACGTGTGAAGTTCAGGTAAAATATCACCTTCAGTGGGTCGACCACAGATGATGCAAAATCTGCATAAGTAGATACTTCACAGAGAAACCAGTCTAATACTTTGTAGAATGGCTTCATTTCATTTCATCACTTGAGATGCCACTGACTATACTACATGTTGAGTACTTCTGGAAGAAGGGCTTCTAGAGCTACAGATTTTTGCCCAGTCTCTAGCCCTAGCTTTTAATATTGGCGGACGTTGGGGCCAAATACTTTTTCCTTCTCACTGTTGCCAAGTGCCTGGGGCTCATCTGATGTAAAGCATGTTGAGAGTAGGTTGTTGTTCTGATGTAACGCTATGTAAATAAGACTGAGTTAAATTGGATATGTTGTCCACTGCTCTACAAGAAGCCGGGAAATGGTGGTAATAACACACCGAGTGTGTTTAATGCCACATAATGGATTTACTAGCCGTCCTCATGTAACCGACTACACTGCCATTCATGCGCGTTAGCAGCAAATAAAATAAATCCTACTGAGCCTGAAGGCAGCACCGAGACGTTACTTACTGTTCTGAGAACGCGCCGGGCCTCCTGCAGGACCTGCTGCACATTGCTGACAGAGCACAGGACCAAGGTGCAGACAACAACGTCCGCAGAGCCGTCCCGTACTCCTCGCATGTCCTCCCCGGAGACGCACATAAACTTGTCGTAAGTCAGATGCTGGTTTGCGTCCATGCTCATCCGCAGGTACTTCTCGAAGTGCGGGTTGGGGTCAGTGCAGATCACCGTGCAGCCGTGGGGGTAAAACTTGAAGTTAGCTCCGCTGCCGCACCCGATCTCCAGCAGGCGAAGGGTGCCATCGGTATCTGCAAATCTGGCCATGTTTCGGAAAAGCTCCCTCTTGACTCTGTGCATTTTGTCGTTGTATGAAAATGTCACATTGTAGGCGAGCAAGGGAAAAAGGCGTTTGTACATGCCACGCAGCCCTATGACCTGCATTGCGTGCAAGGGCAGACTCAAGGCTGAACAAAGCAGCCTGCATAATTTCATTAGACAAACCTTCATTTCTCACTGAGCTTACCTGAAATTTTGCTGTGGCACCTGAAGATGAACGACTTAAGAAGCTCAAAAGATTATAATCTTTAACACGTGACCAACGCATCTCATTAACACCAGGAGGTGCTGGAAATGCAGTGCAGCCTACATGAGAGTGAAAGCAACACCAAGTTCCTCCAATCTTTGAAAGAAAACACAGACAAACTCAGTGGGATAAAGACTTTTAATTGCTGCTGTTTTGACACAGTCACCTAAATAACAGCAAAAAATATAAATTTTATCTGATTTTAATCACAAAAGGTACAAATCAATCCCCATAGCTCACAAACACTAACAAATTTTTTTTCCCAGCAAGCAGTTTGGGAATGAGGAATGGAGGACGAAACACCACAATGTATTTGTCACTTTAGCTGGATTCAAAATTAGAGTTGTGTGCTGTCTATGTAAGGTTGTCTTTTTAGTGTTCATCTTTTTTGTACAACACTAATGACTCACTCTAATAAAAAAAAAAAAAATAGTATTAAGGTGACTGGTGGTTTCTATCACTGGTGGTCACATGATAGAAGAGGAAAAAGGCAGTTAATGCTCAGCATATTCAGAAGCTGGTTGTGTGTCTGTGTGTTTTGGAAGGGGGTGGGGGGGCTCCCTAAAAAGATAATCAGACTGCATTTATTTGACAGCATAGCCCGAGATGTGAGGTTTTATTATGAAGAAGAATGGCGCTTCAATGTGTCTTAGTTTGAGATCAGAGAATCCGGCTTCCTCCACATATTTCCATGTTTCCCGGATGATCCAACATCCGTCACCGTAGTAGTACCACAAAGGCTGGAGAACGTGCTGAAAGAAGTACGTCCAAGTCGAGGTGTCACCAGCTACGTGCTCTAAGAAGAAGAAGGCTCCACCCTGCACGACAAAGATTTAACATGTAAACTATAAAGTGTGTCAATATTGGGTAATGAGTGGTAAATTAATAGTTTAACTGGCAAACACGCAGGCGCTCATTTCATTAACTTAAGATCTACTACAGAACACACAAATTGATAAACAGAAAAAATACATCCCCAACAAAAAAAAACAACCAACCAAAACAGTGGAACAGTGGTGAGCTTTTGTAGCTGTGGCCAGCCTACCAAAATCACTCGAAGAAAACATCAATGTCTCATCCAGGAGGACAGAAAGAAAAAAACAGAACATAATCTAAAGACTGAGAAATTTGTTTACTGAAAAAAATCCCTAAGAAGAATGTCCGGCCATCAATTCATGTCCTAAATCTCAAGGTTATTTGGATTATGCAGCAGGACGATTATCTGAAACACTAGAAAGTCCACCTCTGAATGGCTCAAAAAAGAAATGACGGTTTTGGCGTGGCCAAGATCCTTTGACATAGCCATAAACAGCCATTCATGCTCAAAAACCCTTCAGTGTAGCTGAATTAAAACACAAGAGTTGCCCAGAAATGTGAAAGACTGATTCCAGTTATCACAAACACTTGATAACAGTTTTTGTTGTCAAGGGTGGAAAAACCAGTTACCAGGTTTAGGGAGTGATTACTTTTTCATATAGGGCCAGGTAGGTTTGGATAATTTTTTAACCCTTAATAAATGAAAATCATAATTTTTCTGATTAAATTAAAAATTCAATGTATAAAACAATATCCTTAAGAAATATATGCACTATAACGATCTAATAATTTAATTAATATTGCTTTAAATTAATATGGAATCCCATAAAACAGACCTAAAGGCCTTAAACTGGAGACAGATTTTTAAAAAAAGGTGCATGGTACAAAGTGCTATTACTGTCCATCTAGTGACTTAGTGCCTATTGGACTGATATTGGAAACTAAGAACTGATTTCAGTATTGCTGTTGGATATAACAGGTGGTCTCTAATAAATTTAAGTAATGTTTATGTTGTACAATCAAACAGAAAATGATGATAAACTTTTTAAAGTGTGAACACTGCAGTTGTTTTCTTGATGACTCCTCAACTTTTACTGATTAATGCAGAACCACAGCTGAAAGGCAGTAAAGTCCACCAAGAGAAGGTGGCAGTACCCGCTTATCACGATCACGTGTCCTAAAGCTCACAATTGTTAAAGCGATAGAGAACAATTAGACAATTATTACTTCCATGAAAATATATTGACTCTAGACAATGACAGACTCTTAGGATACGAAGTAACTGAACCAGGGGCGATTTTAGCCCAGTTTTGGAGGTGCTTCAGCACCCCCAAAATGAATCAAAGCACCCCCAAAGATGCCTTACTTTTTTGAAAATATTTGCTGTTTGTGGGACACACTACTAAAAGTATAAAAAGCATACAGTACTTAATTGAGATGGAACATTTTAACAACAAAAGTATAGATAACCCCTCCCCCCTCCCAAAATGGTTTGTTCCAGCTCGGCTCTCTCCTACT